TGGCGGAACGGTGAGGCCGGGTGTGACGGCTGTTTCTGAGTTAGTTGTCCGCTCCACGCAGTCTGGAAGTCCGGTATGCGCATACCCAGTATCGGGCCCAGAACCTGATCATTGTCAAGCAGCTCGACCTGCACCTTGCCCGTAAGCGGCGACACCGTCGCTGGCTTCTTCATCGGCCGCTCGGCGCCGTTCTCTCCGTTTCGCTTCCGCTTCTTGTCGCTCATGTTGGTGTTGGTGCGGCGGCTTGGATGGCTTCGCGACAAAAAGTTCCATCGCGAATTGGCAGAACAAAGGCGGTGAGCCACTAGCGCAGCGGCAGGGATCAGACCAATACGGGATGACGTCTACGCGACGAACGCGTTCCACGTCTCTCTGCCACTACCAGAGTAAGAGGTAGGTGCCACCGTGGGTCCTTCTCCGTTGGTTATCGTGTCTTCACATGCAATTGCGTCCGAGTAGTCAACAATTCACGCTGTATCAACCCCCGCCAACCTTCAGACCTCATCGTCACCTGCACTCAAACCTGATCATCACCTGCACTAATCACAATGCCTACCATTCTCCACACAGCCGAAGACGTGGCTAGTAACGTCAACGCCCATCTCCATCATGCGTCGGACCGCGTAGGCGACCAGCTGCATATCAACACCGACCGCTTCTTCCCGCACAAGCACCGCCAAGAGATATATCACAAGTTCCGCAGCTACGCCAACCAGAACCCCAAGACAACTGTACGTTCCCTCCAGTATGTCAAGGATGCATCGCATGATTAATTTCATGTCAGGCCTTCCTCACAACCCAAACCGCCCTGACCGGCATCCCGCTCATCCTCTTCATCGCCTTCGCAGCAGCAACCGTCTTTGTCTCCCTCACAACCTGCCTCGCCCTCGCTCTCCTTGCTGCCTTCACTATCTCCTTCTTTGCTATCGGCTTCGCGCTCCTCTTCGTCGTGCCCACGCTCTTCTTCGCTAGCTTCGCTGCAACCTTCATCTTCATCTGGGGCTTCGTCGGATACATCATCCTGCGCAGGTTCAATGAGGGTGAGGCGCCAGCGAAGCGCGGCACGCGTGTTGGCGATGCGTTGCATGGGCTGACGGGCGGCAGATCGGCATTTTGGGGCGGCGGGGAATCACATGTGGAGGGCCACCAAGCATCTGGGGAAGGGCCTGAACATCGAAGGAGCCTTGGCGTGGGAGCAAATAAGAAGGGCACATGCCACTGCGTGGTATCGCATCAAATCGACGGTGGACCTGTGAAGGGTACGCATGACCCGCTGCAGTGGGAGAGGAAGTGGACGGATGGCGTGCTGGATCAGCCGGTGGTGTTGGAGACGGGCAATACCTACGAGGTCTTGAAAGCGGTAGGTTTGAGCGCCGACTACACATGCGCAGATATGGCTAACAGATTTGACAGGAAGTTCCCGTCTCGTGACAGTAAGATGATGTTTTTACACGGGGCTGCCCATCCTAACGCCTCCTTCGTTTCTAATTACGGAGATTTTAATCTCTAGACCATTAAGACAGCATTCAATATTGTTAGTTTGGCGTCTGTACTTTGCTTGCTTGTCCCATTCGTAACCTGTTTCTACATGCGCCCTCCTTGCTCTCGCGTCGACTTTTCACGTGCACCACCCCCACCCTTCCACATCTATAAAACCCCTCGTCTCTCCTCGCTGCTTTTCTTTCATCCTCGAACCTCTTCCTGCAAAGTCCAAAACCAACAGTGTGTAACTGCACGTCTGTTCTGCCAGTCCTTCCAAAAGAATCGCGATCGAAAGCTCGGATGGAGATTTTCTGCCTCTCCAAAAAGTAAACAGTAAGCCGCTCATGGTGCGTTTCTGAAAAGGCCCAGGTGCCGATTGTATGGGCCAGAACGATCGTTCTCAAAGTAGAACGCAAAAGGCTCACATGTTTGGCCGCTTTTCTGCGAGGGACTGAAAAGATACAATGATGGAAGCATGGGGGGTTTAGAAATGAGGAGTGATATTTGTTGTTTCCTATCTAGAAACTTTCCCCGTCTGTAGCCATGTCTATGTATCCTGCCCATGTACCGCCATGTTCTATCCAGACCGTATATCCAATCTTGTCAGGATCTACCGCCACTATGTCTGAAACGACTCGAGGGTAGCCAGGCTGTTGTTTGACCTAGTTAGGTAGCCTTAGGAACCTTGACCGTCATTAGAGTTGACGTCTGCGCATCTGAGGTCATGTTCACCGACCCATACGCAGCCAAGGCCGCGTTGGCCGACGACGAAGGTGCAGCCCACGGACAAAGCCTCAGAATCGGTTGCAGGTCTCCCTCCGAGAATTCAAAGTTGGGATACGAATTAGGCTTTGGAATCAGCAACTTCTTCTTGCCGTCTTTCTTGTCGAGGCGAATAAGAGGGTACATATCCGAATTCGTGGGACCCTGATTGTAGAGGTTCGGGTCTGCTGCAGCGATGGAGGGGTACATCATGATAGAGTCGTAATTTAACACGCCGCTCATCATATAGCCCACGTTTTCTTTGAGATAAGGCACGGAGATAGTTAGGTATTTCGTGGCTGTGGCCTCGTCGTAGCAGACGGCCGTCTTTGCATCCTGGAAGCCGTCGACCTGGGCTTTTGTCTTGGCATCCCAGTACCCGGAAATACTGACGCAGTTGAACTGGAGGCAATGGCTGCAGTCTGGCCGTTGATGCTCATGGAGTAGTCCGAAGATGTGGCCAAGTTCGTGCGCCGCCGTTATACGTTAGTCAGTATGTTTGTCTCTCAGCCTTGCTGATGTACTCACCGTAGGCGAGATTCCCATCGACAGATCCAGACGCCTCGCCCAAGCGCAATCAGTGGTGCCCAGGCTCGCCATTCGCCAGGTAGCCAATTGTACCCTCACCCCCAGTTCCAGGTGAGCCCTTCTTAATGACGACCGACTCTTCCGGGGGCAGCGTCTTCCAGCCGTCGCTGGGTGGGCTCTCGAGGGTTGACATGGCATCGCAGTTCTCGTAGCAGTATGGGATGACAGTATAGCCATCAGCGCCTTTCGGCCAGGCGTACGCGTGATCGGCGCCGAACCTGTGAGAATCAGTAATTGCAAACTCGATGAGAGGGTGAATAATCTAACCCAGGCCCGAATCAGCCCGTACTGGGTTTGTCCAAAGCGCCCCCACTCAAGGTGTGGTTAGGTCCTGGCATGTACGCAAAAGCGCACCCCTCCAAGAAAGAGAAGAGGAGAGATTGTGAAAACATGGTTGTTGGTTAAGAATCTTTTTCGAAGTGGTAGGGAGTTAATCGTGTTGTGAATTGTAGAAGAGGTGAGGGAATCGAGCAGTATGTATAACTCTAAGAGACGCGCTAGCGGCGGCAGCAGTTCAAAGCTCTCCAAGCGCAGAAATCCCTGGATGAGAGTGAGAGTGAGAGTGAGAGTGGAGGAAAGGCGGGCAGTGGAGGGCCGGAGGATCAAAGAATTGTAAACGTAGCAGTTACCGGGGTAAAAGCGGGATTGCTTTGAGTGATTTCAGACTGCTGCTATCACTGTACCAGAGGCTGCGAGATGGATCGCGTCCTGAGTGACTCGAGGTTCCTTAGAGTCGAAGGATAGGACCCATGTGCTCACAATTAAGGCCAGTTCAGACCCCGAAGGCTTAAGTTATCACGTCTTCAATCTCTTCTCGCGCTCTACTGCGCGAGTCCATCTGCGCAACTAGATTCTGGTTCTAGATCCATCAAGTATGTATCTGTGGCCAGAATCCGAGATCAGAAGCAACTGTCTACACTCGGACGTCCAGAATCTGGCCTCCTCACAGCCCCCACCCTTTCGGCAATTCTCACTCCAAAAGCTACGATAGACTGCGGGCTATAGCGATCGTAGGAGGTGGGTTTCCGAGTGAAAGCATCGCGATGCGCTGCCTAGTATAGGCCGACCATGTGCAGCTCCCGGTACATCAGGGCACATATATACCCTGCCTGTACGTTTGCTGGTGTTTGCCATGTAGCAAAGCCAAGCAGACGGAGTGGTGTGTTCGTGCCGAAGCGTTGCGCAAGGCTTGCATCGCATCCTTGTTCATGGGTGGGTCTATTCGGCCATTTGAGTATACATGAGCGGGATTGTTCCTGCGGGTTATGTCTTGCGCTCCTGCTGACGAACTAAGGGACCGAGAGGAGGAGTAGGGCTTTGCTGCCAGAGGAGTAATCGTGCGACTCTTGGTCTCTTTCTGACGCGCAACATTGATTGCGCACTCGATGCTTCATCCCAAGGCTCATGTCCTGGCCCACCAGTATAAGTCTAAAGCGGCTCTTCTCTTTCTCGATGGCATCTCACGATGCAAGGCGGAGTGACCGTGCGATTCCTGGTTTCGTTCCGCCCCGCCATATGAACTGAAACCATTCAGTTTCACATTCGCACGACCCAAGGGCTCGTTCATGACGAGCGCACCAAAAACCTAGACAGGGCCTAAGGCTAGGCGCTGGCAATCCCTTTGTCCAAGGGCTTGTTCGCGAGCAGGAATCGAACGCGGTGCGCATCGTCCGCCATCACATCCTCCAGAGATGCAGGCAGAGTAATCGCGCGATTCCTGGCCGCGCTCTGCCACAACATGTCCACGGCGGGGTGCTCAGTACTTCGTTCCAATTCCCAGGCCTTTGTGCGCCAGTATGAACGCATACCTCATTCACACCCCACAGGAGTACGAATGCCAACACCTTCATCATAGATTCCCGGTCTAGAAGCAATACGTCGAGGTCGTAGTTCTTCGCGACAGTCGCTGGATTGTTACTTCTTGTCGCATTCATGGGTCGCAGGGTGTCAAGATGTGTATGTAATCTCATTCGGCATAGCGATACAGAGTTGAGGAAGATGCGGACACATCCGAGCGAGGGCCTAAAGCCCCGCTCCCAACAAACCATACCCCTCCCTTTCTAGCTTTTACAATGTGTCAACCTACCACCCTTTAATCACCCAACCAGTCACTTCACACCGTTTCTCTGTAGTATATATACACGTTTTAATAGCCTTCTTATCACCAAGCATCGATAGTTTAGGGGTAGAATTCGAGCTTCCCATGTTTCCACGTAGCCTGCTCGAGGTCCGAGTTCGAGTCTCGGTCGATGCATATCTTGTTTTTTTGCACACCGTGATGAGCTAGTCAATAATACAAACAGTCTAGGTAACGTACTCCACGGTCGAGCGGCCGCTCTGTGCCAAGCTCCCACCAGAATCACAACTACGGTGCAACACTATAGCTAAGGATGGTAGAGAACAGTAACGGACAGTTGTAGATATTAATCTATAACTATTTCTGCATCTTTCTGGCATGTGCCCTGTCTCACCACACGGCCCACAGTGTCTTTGAGGTTGACTGCTCCTATCACTGCAAGTCGTAAGCTCCTTATGGGTACTTAACTGTATGCCTTCTCTTTGTAGATGTTTGTTCTTGCGTGCTTTACAACGTGAGGTAGCTTAATTTGCCGCATCAAGCTTGGTGTTGCGCTTTGCTATCAACACCATAGAATGTGCCATTATCTTTGCACCTTTAGTAAACTTTTCAAGGGCTTCAACTATTAAAGCAGGTGAGCTATCCACATGTCTCTGGATCATGTCTTGAATTGGCTTTGATTAGGATCTGAATTCCGGGGTATTGCTTAGTGTTCTGGACTGCCAGGGACTGTCCTCAATAGCCTCAATTGTAGGTGGTATTAGTGTACGCAGTCAAATTTCAAGCTTTGATACCACTGCCTCTGGGTTCGTTGGAACCAATCCAGTACCTCTAGATCCTCCTAAGATATTGCTCTTTATGATTGAAGCGTCAAAAGCAGCTTTGAAGCATGTTAAGAATTTGGTTTTAGTAATGTAGGTGATATAGTTACGCATCAGAGCCTTGGCTTGGCGTCCATAGGCCGTCTTCAACGGTAAAAACAACCCACATCTAGTGTCTGCAGTAGGTGTGACAAATGGGGAGGCATACAGAGAGTGATAATCTTAGTCTGCTGGCAAAGCTGCTGGAATTGCAGCAAGTTATGGCTCTCATGGCCATCCAGAACTAGGAGCCAGTGGGTTCCAATAGTACGACCCTTTGTATGTCTGTCAAAGTGCTCAAGCTATTTAATACTAAGCTCATTAGTAGTCTAGCCATTGTCAGAGACAGCAATAACCTAGTCGCTTGGTATTCTGTCCTCTTTGTGTCAGCCATGGCACCTGATGCCCCATGGCCGTCTGAGTTCCATCCCCAAAGTATGTCTGTGACCGAGGTATGTAAGTCAAGCATGGTGCTCTATGGTACCTCCATCCCAATGTACGTCAATCCCCGATGTACGTCCATCCCGAGGCACGTCAATCCCCGAGGTACGTCTGTGCCGGGGCTGTATGTACCCTAGTATATATAGAGCCCCATCCCCCATAGTCAATACAACACGCATTTCCCCATGTTCGACACCTAGTCATATTGACACTTTGTACCAGGCAGAGAGATGGTGCTTGCTAGCAAAGATAGTAAAATGTGGTATTGCCTACTGTTACAGTCCAGCTGACGCAGATATAACGGGCGAGGCCCCTTCCTATGGACGGCCAATGGGGTTATACAAGGCGGACAGGCAACTATGCCGCATGCGCTCTAACGCTCATTGCTGAGCGCTCAACAACGAGCATGTCAGTGCTTACCAGAACAGGTAAGCAGTCATCAATGACCACTGGATGCCTGGCTGTCGAAGCCAGGATAATCAAGTGCTCATTGATGATTGCTTGTTGATGATTGCTTGTTGATGATCGCGCATTGATGATCGCGCAATGATAATCGCTCATGGATGAGCGCTGGCTATTGAGCATAGCGCTTTGTCATTATGGACAGTCCATAGTATATATAGACAGCACTGCGAGGCCCTTATGGCTCGACGTGTTCAACTCATTAAGTGACAAGCAATACTACTGTTCTATCTTCGATCCGCTTTGCAGAGAGCCCCTTCTACTGCATTCGCACCGTCCCTCCTCTTTGATATGGTTTACAGAGAGCCCCTTCTACTGTCTTCGTATCATCCCTCCGATCCTGATCCCATTCATCCCAGAGAACCAACCTTGCGTTCCCCCGACTACGTACCATACATCTAGCCTTCTAGCTTCGGTCGTACCCTCCAGTCGGACGGACCCTCACACCCATCATAAAGCCTGACTTGTCAAAGTTGTAGACGTCCTTGTCCAGGATACTATATAAGGCTTTGGTATTAGCTACCAGCCAGAACCAATTCCTGATAACCTCAGGATCCTTGCATTTGGCTCTTCTGTAGTTGTGCTTTTGATTGAACTTGACTTTAAGCTCTGGTTGGCACTTGACAAAGGTATTTGGCCAGTTTATGCTAATGGGGTCATGGTGACGTTTAGCCAGCAAAGAATCAGACATATCCTCTACAGCAGCAAGCCGGGGCAGAAACCCTTGCACATCAAGGTCAAGGATATGCTTGAAAATCACCTCCTCTTCTGTCTTAACAAGCTTCATTCTGTTTGGTATGCAATTGCATTGAGAAGTGGTTTTTTAGAGGCGTTGTCTAAGGGTCTGTACAGAGATGCTGTAGATTGCTGCAGCCCGTTTTTGGGTAAGTGTTGTGTCCTGTTGTAAAGCCTAGAGTGCAAGCTGCACTTGTGCCTCTTTTTGAGATGATAACATGTTGCTGGGTAGAGGCATCATGTAGGTAGAATAGTTTTGGTGGGGGCTCGGCACAGAGCGGCCACTCGACCGTGGAGTACGTTATATGTAGGGACGCTTTTATTTTCTTTTTGTGCGTGTCTTTGTCGCACATTGATTCATGTTCTTCAGCTGCGAGAAGATATTTACTGGTAGCTTCAATTGCAGCGTGGGAAATGATTCAGGACTTGTTCTTAAATTGGTTCAATCGAGATTCTCAACAAGGTCCTAGACCTTCGTCTGATGCAGTTCACCCCTCTCCACATCCATATCGACCGGAGCATCTGTATTTATACTAGCCTTCGAACTCCGCCCAATCTTCTCGGTCTTGAATACTTCTTCATCGTCTACTTCTACCACCGTCTCCTCCGTCAGCGTCGTCCCGCTCCTCTTCAACCACGCTTTCATCGCGAACGGCCTACCTTTAGCCATACTTTCCACAGACGAGGACTCGGTCGGCAGCTCTTTGAGGTGCTGTCGCTTGAATGTAATGGGTATTTCTTGATCGAGGTTGATCCATGTGCCCTGTTCGTGAGCGTCGAAGGCGCGACGCTGAAGCTGGAAGACGCCATCTTGGATCCAGCTGTCAATGCGGGGAGCAAGAGCTGTGCGGAATTTTGAGAGGAAGATGAGGAAGCGGAGAACCAGAAGATCTGCGAGAAACGAGAAAGGTACCAAGTTAGTGTGTTTGTTTTCACTTGCTTGTTCGTAGAGGGATGCTTACTGCACACAGTCAGAACGACAGCAAAGACCGTTATGAATGCCAATGCGAAGACACTGACGTTACTGAATATCGTTAGTTGTGAGGTTCAGTGAAACAGGCTGCTGGACTTACGCGAAACCACCCGACTTCCGCATCTTCAACGACTGGCATAATTCTCTGTCCCCTTCATCCGTCATAGGTTCCGTATATTCATCCGCGAATTTATCGAAAACCTTTGGTCCAATAACAGCTGCTGAGATGACCGCCTGGTAGCCTGCCCAGACGAGAGATTCCCATGCGACAACCTCTTTGATCCACTGATCATCCGGTAGACCTTGCGACAGAAACCTCGTTCTTGAATCTTCGGCGAGGATATTTCCTTTAGCAGCACCGTCTTGGATATGTAGAAACCGGGTAATGGAGCGGAGTAACTGTAAAAGGCGCAGTTGGAGGGGACGGAGCTGGGGAAAGTCTGCGGTGTAGTCCTCGAGGGGACTGCCTGACAGCTCAGTACAGAAATCCTCTTTTCCATTTTGAGGAATGCAAAACTGGTACTAGACAGATTTAGCCGCGAAGATATACAGAGCTCATCAACACTATACCTGTTCCGCACAACCGACCACGCCCGCTACGTTATCAGATTCGTACAACGTATCATTTGGATAGCCGCCGCCGCTTACGTAAATTGTCTCCTGGTGTGCCGAGAACAATGGGTCATCGACAGGTTCGTAGTACGAGATGGTGTTCAACCACACAGCCATGAGGGCCACATCGGCATCTTCACGTCGCATCTCCGGCAGGGGATCGATACCGAGGTACGACTGATCCGGTCGTAGAAAGGACATGATGCCACTTGAGTTTGTCAGTCAGACGCTCTCTCCATAGAACTGTATAAACAACTTACTCGGACCCGTATGCCATTTGGTGATTAGTCAGAGCCGTAGATTGGACGAAGGTTGCTTCTGGGCGGAGGGAAGGCTTAGTATCGCGATACGCTCCGTACTCGATAGTGGTCTGGGCACCCACGAATCCGTTTGTTGAGAAATACGACTCGTTCCTGAAAAAAATATGGCCTTCTATAGGAAGGACATTGCAAGTAGTCTGCCTGCGAAATTTGACTGTATCGTCGACTTGAATGTTGAGACCGAAGTGTGTTCTCAAATCGAGGAGCCCAGAATCCATGCTCCAGGCAGGCGTTTTACCGGCAAGGCACATTGCATCATCCCAAGGGCATGGCACTGCTTCTGCACTAAAGAAGATCCTTGGATTGCTGAACGTATTGCGACAAGGTGCGGGTATTGACGAACTGTTCTGGTAGCAGTTCATAGCGTAGGAATTGACTGACTTGTCTAGGGCAGCTAGCAAGGTTGAGCCGCCTGTATTGGCGAACATTCTCGTGTAGTTGAAGCGACCACAATGCGGGCTGTCAACAAGGATTTGTAGGTTTGAGTTGTCAATAGCAAAAGACGTGGATACACCAGCTGCGAGAGCTGCTATAGAGAAGAAAAGGGCGGCGGAAAAGGGGATAGATGACCTAAGGAGTGCACGTGAAACCTTTGTTCTCCACATCCACGAGAGCTTGAGAGTATCCGCCATGAGTGCTGTGGGTGCGGGTAGTGTTCGCAGTAAAGCCTGCTGTTGCCAGAACAAGCCATCTGCGTATTCGCCGTTTGCTCGATATTGATGGTAGAAGAAGGCAAAGAGATTCCACAGCTGGGATGTGGCAATTGAGGAAAGA